AGAGAGAGAATTTTTGCTCTGTATGTGCTGTCAGACCATAAGTGACTGATAATTTGTGAATCCTTCCATCGCCTGCATGAAGAACTAGTACACTATATGCACATGTAAATGTATTAACCTGCCATAAGAGGAAGCTCTGGTATTTTCCTTTAAATGCAGTAGTTAGTGGACAGAAGGTTAAATCAATAAATGTTTTATTGAACTGAATTCCAATTAAATTTAAAACTTCTTTGAGGAACATTGACTTTAATTTATGATACTTAAGTATTCATTCTAAACCGAACAGAAACTTTCAGCCCTATTTTATAAACTGAAAGCCAGATCTGAATTTGGATCTCAGATATGCCACTCAGTTCTGTGACCCCAGGTCATTTGTTTATTTAATTTCTGCAACTCAACTGCCTCATCTGCAAAATGGGTATACTAATATGAACTATTTCCCAAGTGGTGATGTGGCTACAAGTGAGATATCACTCCATATACAGGAGGCTAGCAGCCCTCGGCAAGGAGAAGGAACTGATTAAATGTGAGTTCCCCTCCCTGTGTCCCTAGTGCAACATAATATAATGTGATATTTAGAATTTTAATTCAGGCAATTACTTAAGTAGTAATTGCTATTTGTATTTACATAGCTGCTTTGATCCAAGAAGCTCAAAGGGCTTACTATATTTAGCATTTTAATAAATGTTTCATTTGCATTCTGTTGATTCTGTTTACCCACACCAAAACTTGGAATTTTTTAAAGCAAGACAGTCAGAAAATAAGGAAAGAAGACAAAAATCTTCCTGTTTAGGGGTCTCCCAGAACAGTTTCTATTTACTTAGCAGGTCAAAACTCCCTCTTCGTGTGAAATGAAGGGTGAGAGACGTGGGTATACCTGCTTCCTCGTACAGCTCCTTTTAGCTTCTGCCTGCTCAACTCCATCCCTGCCACACTTCTCTGAGGCACTGACAACAGAGGTGTTTATTGCACCAATGAATTTATATATAATCAGCACAATAAACGTTATTAAATTGTCGGATGAAAAGCAAAGCACGTAGTGCAGCACCAGTACTGAATTCTAATGATGCTGAATGTCCGTGATTGTACAGGGACAGGATCTTAACAAGCCTTGATTTGAGCGTTGGCATCCGCCTCACAAATCACATGGGCTGCTCCTCCCGTAACGCTGCTGAATATTGATAAATGTCTCCACCCCGCGCAACAGGGAAGTGGGTTTCTATTGGCAATCTTTACCAAAGTGTGTTTTTTCCCTTCTCTACACTCAAGGGTTTACCCTGAATGATTTAATTATAATTTTCCTTGTGTAAGACAAATTAAAGAGGAGAGTAGGAGTGTCGTGCCAAGCACATTATTTATCTCCTTAACAGATTGCAGCTCACCAAACCCCAGAGCTGCTGCTGTGGCGGCTGCTCGCAGGGGCTGCAAAATGCATGGGGGTGAGAGTGAGAGAGACGCAGTTTTCCAAACGGCAAGGAAATCTGCAACCTGGTGAGAGAATTAGACACACCGCTACTTTACAAACAAACAGCAACTCTTGTAGTGTACCTTTGCCCAACAAATCTCCTAGACCACTCCCAGATCCTTTTAGGAAAATCCTTAAAGCTACTAACCCCAGAAGGAGCTGCAGGGCCTGTTGCTTGTCCCGTTACTGCTCCCTGAGAATCCAGGAAAAAGAGTATGCCCAGAAATCAAGGGAGAGCCGGCAAGGTCACAGATCACAAAGACCCTGGTAAGGATGGCAGACAACTTCTCTAAGGCAGTTACAGGAATGTCCCGTTCAGCGTATATGAGAACATACTTTTTTTAGTGACAACTTTCTTCTCTCTTCTTTCCTTTCTTCCACATTTTTCTACTGTTTACACTGGATATCACACATGGAAAGATTAAATTAAACCTCATAAAATAATGGCATTTCATATCCATTTTAAGGCCCTGTATATGCACACATAAAGCTGACTACCAACTGATTTTTGAACGACAAACTGAATGATAAGCTTAAAACTGTGAATTATTTTTACCTTGGAGAGTTCATTTATCTTGATGGATACATTCAGTTAGGATAGGCTGACTAGGGGTTGAGGCTGTAGCTCAGTGGTAGGGAATAGTTTGTGCACAAGGAAGGCCCTGGCTTAAATTCCCTGTACACAACTAAGGAAAAATAAAATAAAATGTGCTGAACAGAATTTTCTTTCACTCCAGGAACATGTGGGAACCTACCAGGTAATATAGAATGAGAGAATCAAGAAATTTAAGCGATAACATAGAATTTCATAGCTACTTTCTCTTCCAATGTACAACTGGAGACCTTAGCCTGTTTTTACCTCCACATAAGGCTCAGTGGGATCTGAATTCTCGTCTGAACCATAGTCTAATGTAGGCACGTAGTATAATGAAGATTAAGCATAATGTTCGTGCAGACAAATAAGGACCATTAAAAAAAAATCAAACAAACTTAGTCTCCTGGAATTAGACTGTCCCCTAGATCCATTTACTTCCAAGTGTACCTTAAGATATGAAAAGGGCTATTCTTCTCTTGCTAGCCTCCTCGCTAATCTACCGGCTGACTGCAGTATATAACCTTTCACCATGAATCTGAGTGCAGTGCATCTAAACAAGAGGAGTTTTCCATGTCACAGGAAGCCTGCGCAGGCTCCACAGCGGCCAGCAAGATTGCAGCAAATACCTTAAGTGCACCAGTTGGCATTTCTCAGTGGACAGCCTCCTGCTCTGCGTATGGATAAAGATGTAATTCAATCCCTCGGCAGCAAAGGGACAGCACCAACCTCTGGATAGGAAAATCAAGCACGGCAAAGGACGACAGCCTAGAACCATTTCTTTAAAGCTATGTTAGATTTTCTATTTTGAAAAAAAATAATGAGGACATCGTAAGGGATTCCGAGTAAGAGCTCAGTTTGGCCTCCCCACTGGAGACATATCTATCCCCACTGGAGACAAAAGCCATGTTTCACCCAGTAGCTCCAAACTGTCCACCATGCTATTGTTCAAACTCTTCTAAACCAGCAAGTTTAGAGTATTTACAAAGAATTTAAAAATTCTTCAATGACTGCTATAAATATTTTGAAAAATCTTGAACTGATTTACAAATTTTTGTTAAATCATATATTACCCTTACCTCTGATAATCTCTGATGGTTTGTATGCTCAAATGTGATACAGACGTACGTGGGTACGTGCTTCTATCTGTACATGTACACATACAACCATGTATCTCTTAGCTGAGATACATCCTGAGAAGTACGACTCTAGGCAACTTTGTGGATGTATGATTATTACAAAGCGTACTTACACAGAACTGGATGGTCCAGTTTAACACACACCTAGGCTGCCAGAAGGAGTGTGAGTGTGTGTGTGTGGTACAGCCTATCACTCCTAGGGACATGATGAACAAAACAGCATGAGATTAAATCAAGCACAAGAGAAATGATGCAATCAAGAGATAAGGTAAACATGTGATGCACGAGGCTGCTGCCAGCCTAACACAGCAGCTACTTACAGTCAATTTTTTTAATAGGTAGGAGTACACTCTAACGATTAAAAAGCACAGTAAGTATGTGAACCAGCAACGTACTTGTTTATTATCATTATTATTATGTACTGCACATAATTGCATGTGCTATTCTTTTATGTGACTGACTGCGCAGGCTGGTTTACCCCAGTATCCCACAAATACATGAGTAATATACCGTGCTATCACGTCACGATGGCTAGAGCGTCACTAGATAATGGGAATTTTTCAGCTCCATTATAATCTTATGGGACCACCACCGCGTATGCGGGCTGCTACTGACCAAAACATTCTTTGGAATCTGACTTACGTACATTCAGATATTTTTTCTGATATAAAGACACATACCTGCTTAAACACTGGGCTCAGTGCTCTATTTATGAGAAAGATATGAAATTATATTTTAAATGCTTAACTGAAATAAATTTTTTCACTGAGTTATTTCTGCTTAAACACAAAATTTGCTTCTTCCTGATGGAAATTGCATTTACTATCATATACTACTTTTAATGTTTCTTCTCTTCTTTGTTTGGAAGCTCTGCATATGAAATACATAGAAAACAGTTTAAAAATAGTAAACTGAAAATCAGTTGTCAATTTTACGAGCATTATATATTCCACTTCTAAAGCATCTGAACAGCGGCATTAGCAGCAGTACTTCAAGGTGCTAAGATACCGTAACATGAATCAACAGCTTTATTTTCTTAGAAATCCACACTAACACGATGCGTTCTAGATCTCTACACCAATCTCAGCTTCAACGAACATGCTCGTGAACCTTGGGGCAACTAAGAAATATTAAGTCCTAACCTCCATGGGGGAAGACAGCCGCTGAGACAATGCTGGCTACATTCACGATGAGAAGACAGCACGGTGCAGGTGCCACGTGCGCACATACAATGCATGCTTCCACCTCTCCGGCTTTCAGACCTCTGCTCAGTGCCTACACAGAAAAGGCCATGTGTTCCGGGGACACATGATGGAAAAGATGGGGGGGCAGTGTAGACTAACATAAGTTCTATGTTTTCTCAAACCACGACTCAAAATTGCCCACAGCAGACACTACTGTTCCTTGGGAAGGTGTTTGGAGCCAAGGAATTCAGCTTGTACAGAGTGAGCACTTGGCAGAGGGAGTCAGCCTGGAAGCCTTGAAATCCAACCCATCCAATGAGAAACTCCAAGACTTCTGCCCGGGCTCCTAAGCTGAGAGGAGATCTACATAAGTGCTAATTCCATGTTGAAAAGGTGAAAATAATTAGATGCTTCACACACAAACCATACAAAATACTTTCGTAAGGAACAACAATCCAGCCATGTGAATCCAATTTGAAATCACTGAGATATGGCAAGCAAGGCCACCAGTCCCTCCCAGGTGAAAGACAGCAATGGATGCTGGATACACGTCCGAGGCTCGTCCCTACCTTTCCCTCTTGGGAGTGTGGACCGACAGCTGTCCATTGGTAGAGGCATGTGGGTTCATTATCAAGGAAGTCTTGGAAGGTGCAGAGGAAGACACACATGTCGTGGTCAGGTCCAAACTGCTGTGATTGTTGCCTGTGGTTTCTTCTGCAGTATGAGCACTTGTCACTTCTTTCCAGAGCTGCTGCAGTTCTGTTGGAATCATGCCTGAAACAAACAAATTGGATAATTAAATCAATTAACAGCTAATTCCGTCCTCTTCAAACAGTAATTAAATCAAAGAGTCAGTAAACAAAGCCTAGTGTTAGGGGGGCTTTTGGTATGTGCAGTTCTTTTCCCCTCCCGACTAAGGCAAATACGGTAGTAATAAGCGTGTCCTCCTACTGAGCAGCTGAGTTGAAGTGCCCTCCTCACACACAACAGACACCCATGAAAAGGATTCAAAACAGTTATTTTGCAACAACAGTGTGGCTCCATTCATCTAAAACGCTGCTTCTCAAGTTCAAGAAAAAAATAGAGATGTGACTTTATTTTTAGACACACAGAAAGGCTCAAAATACATTTGTTCTACTATATTCTTATGACAACATGAACCACAAAATGAATAATTTTTGTGCTTAAGTCTTAAATGATGACAAATAGCTTTGTTATTAAATATAGTTTTTATTAATCACTTTTAGACATAAATTATGAATTCATATCGTCTTCCTGAAATGCTTTTCAACTTTTAACAGTCAAATTGATTATACTATGATTATTTCATTAACACACCTATCTTCCTCATTAATTTTGGTTTCTAGTACCACATGCTTAATTGATGGATGTGTCTACTGAGAAACTGTGTAACTTTTTATACAAGTAACACTATTATTACTGTCATTTCTTAGATCAATGCTAATGAACCATCGCAGAATAAAATGAAAATGTAAAATAAACCTGGAGTGCTAAAGTTCTCTTGTTTTTCAAGGGGGTGAAAACGGACATAGGTTTTAAGGAGTAGGTATCACCCTTTTTTTTCCCTATGAAAGAAATACAATCAGTATGTCAATCTCACTACTGTGGGCCTCTTAGTCTTTATCCTGGCGGCATGCCTCAATAGCCTAGGATTTCCAAATCCTACCTCGATGCATATTCTAATACACACATGCACAGAAGAAAAAAGGTTCTGAATTGCAGCTAACAACAGCAGCAGCAGCAAACAGCAACAGCTTCCTCTGAGAGAACACTGAAAAGAAACCACACACCCTGTATCTCATAAGGCAATTTGACAGTAGAACTGGTCATCTGGATTTCTGATCCTTGTTGCAATTAAGTGCATCACAGTTATCCTAGAAAGCCTGCCATTTTCTCTGTATACAGTAGCAGCCGAAACAGGCATGTTTCTTGCCAAACCAAAGGTATTGAATTAAAGAAGGCCGTGTGCATTATATTCATTTGAAACACATAATAAAAAATGCCAAGGTCTAAATTTAATTTATTTTTGTCATTTAGAATACAATGGATAGATAATCATCTCAACGTGATCAGCCAAACATCTTTACTTTGCTAAACTGTTAAAGATTTTAATTATGCCAGCATTGGAGAGCACTGGTCTAATGAGGCGATGGACTCCAGAGAATCCGAGTGGTTAAGAACTGTGAAATGAGTCTGATAGGATTTTTTTATATTCACGGTGGATCGTTTGCATATCAAAGAGGAGTAAATTATTGCACAGCAGACCAATAACCTTCCCCGCCTTTCTGCAAGGCGCCTTAACAAAAACAGTTGGTCTCTCCTAACGGCTCTCCACGAAAATGTTCAAATGCTCAAGTGTTTGCAATTAATATATATTATAAAGGAGACTTCAAGTGATACATTAAGTGGTCAGATATTCTGAGAATGAATCTTCAACAGCCAAGTCCGTTCTCCTCTCCCTTCGTAAAAATCAAATGCCAATTATATTTTGACGGATTCTGTCCCAAATGAGCATTTAGTTATTAGGCATATTCAATTATTACTTTTCCCTTGAAATTAAACGTTGGAGGCAAATTAAACAAAGGGAAAGGTCACTACACAATCCCACGTCCAGTTTTGCTACATCTGGGCTATTATTTTCAAACACCTTCAAAGTGACAGGTGGGATGCACCTGTAGCAAGCGGGCCTGGCACAGTGCTTTGTATGTGGACGATTACCTGTGAGTTCGGCTGACCCTCATACTACTGTTTATCCAGTGGAAACAGTAGTAAGTAGGCCTGTCTGTTGATGATACATCATAGTGCTATAAAACTACACAAGTCAACATCTACAGTATTTTTATTTTCTATTGCATAAACATATGAAAAGAACAAACCACCTGGGTTTAAACTCAAATTAATTGCTTTCTGGGCCAGCTGCAAGGGAAGAACAGGGTTCTAACAACTGTGTGAACACCCTCCCTCTGAGAGCAGCAGAACTTTGAGATTGTTTCAAAAGTATACTGTTTACCCAGCAAAGCAAGACAAAGGCAAGTGCATTCACCACTTGAATTCACCTGGAGTACACTGATGCTCCTCTCCTTTTTTTTTCTATGAATTCTAGTAGGCTAGCAAAATTAGTAACTCATCGAGTAACAACATTGGTATTTTTGGGTCAAATCTCAACGTGATAATTACACTTAAGAGCATTCTCATCAGACTTAAGTGAGTCCAGTCAAATCATTCCCTCCATCTGTGATACCCTTTGTCAGTGACAGTCAGTCAGCTGTTAGCTCAGTGAACGCTACCTAGCAAAGGCTGATGGAATTGGATAGCAAAGTTCTCACGACAGAATTAAGACAGAAAAGTAAGCTAGTAACTCATCAGACCGAACTGACATCCAGTTTCTAGAAAGCATGCATTTCTTCCAAAATGGTAGCATCAGAATAATAGCAAGCTAAACAAATCCATTAGGAGGTACATAAGCAGCTTGTAATTTTCTCGTACCTAGAGTTTACATTTAAAAAAATTAAAAGATCAGAATGAGAGTGAAGGAATATTTCTGGGTAACATTACTGGTTCTACGGAACATCAAATGATGAAAGAGACCAGGGTGAAAACAAATATGCTAATTATGCAAAACAGAGAGAGGGCCCTACATTTACACAGTTTTAAAGTAACTTAGCAAGGCCATGAACAGGTATGTAAAAGCATTTTGATGATTTTATTATGAAGTGAGCACTACCAGCACTTTACACAATATAACCCCTGTGCCTTGCTACATTTCTGTTTTCAGGACAACTGGTTCCTTCATTAGAAAAGAAAATGCAGGCACAGGTTTAAAAAATGTATGTTGTGGGGACAGTTGACAGATTACTGTTCGTGGAACTCAATTTTACAACCCCAGGTATCACTGGCTCAAAGACAGAGTTGATCAACCTTTTTTTGTCCTTGTACATCCATACCCAGGTGACCATGTTCAAGCAAGCAGAAAGTTGATTTAAACCTCGTAATGATATCAGTTTTAAGCCATCATCTCTCTGATAAAAAAGAATTGTGTTGTAGTCCAACGCGACTGAATTCTCCAGGCACTTTGGATGAGGGGGTAGGGGAAAGAAAACCATCCTCCTGATTCAGGAGAGATGGCAGTAACAGTGTGGTTCCCTTTGCTACAAAAACTTGACTTCAGAAATGTTTACACTGACACTTATGCCATCTTGGACACACATGCAGACACTACTCAGATTTTAAATATGCTTTCTCCTAATGTTGCAGGGGCTAATGGTTACGGCAGACGGCTAAGCGTATCAATCAATGCCATGACTAGTGAATTACCTACCGGTGTCTCTGATATGTTACAGCAGAGATTACACTTCATGCATCACCACATTCATTTCTTTCACATTACATATGAGTTTGTCTTGTCACTGCCCAATTGCCCTCTTTTGGACAGCTTAACTGATGTACTATAACAATGAACCTTAGTGAGCAAACTTAATAGTACAGGAATGGTGGGAAAAGATGAGACAGGGTGAAGCTCTGAGTCTAGCAGGTGTGTCAGAAGAGCCTGCCATGTGTCCAACAATAAAGCAGAAGGTGTAATTAATGCGCGTTATAACACTGCATAGGTTCAGAATGCATTAGTTGATGTGTCCTTCCTTTTCCTCTTGTGCTGATCAGTTATCAAATCTTTTATTCTGACAGCAACGGAGGAGACACTGACCATGTATCAAGAAGTTGAGCTGTCATGGCAGAGAGATATGGAGGGTCAACTAAGACAGTGAAGGAGCTAACAGATTTGGTGGCAACACTGAATGCAAATACACAACACAAAGCAGGGGTGCTGGGACACAAGAAGTTGGGTGTGGTCGACTGGAGAGAGGACATTTATGAAGACAGGCCTCACTGGGTCCACTTGACACCATAAGTTACTAGACAAATGCCCATGCCTTAAGCAACGAGGAGGAGGTCCCCCATTGTCAACCTCCTTCAGATGGCAACTAAATCAAGACATCCAAAGCTATTGCTACTTGCCATTAAGGCTCAAAGCCACATACATCCAAAACCTTAGAGCTAAAATAACTGTAGGCCTAGAGCAAGCAACTAAAATTTGTGTGGAGTTAGTCATCCTTTGGTACCTGTGGAACCACCCTCTCCAATATTAAGATTTGAGGGTGCCTAAGTCTTCTGTATGTATAAATGGGTGTAGTATTTATATGCCACCTATGTCTACCCTCCTGTGTACCTTAAATCACCTCTTCATTACTTAACATGCCTAATATGATGTAAATGTTATGTAAATAGTTGTTATAATATATTCAGGGTACAGTCAGCGACAAGAAAAATGTCTACACATGTGTAGTAGAAATGCATTGTCTTTTCTTTTCTTTTTTACTAAATATTTTCAAACCATGGTTGGTAGAATCTGCAAATACAGATGTCGCAGATACGAAGGGTCAACTACAGAGGACTGGGAAATATCTTCAAATGTAAGCATGATACTTGTTCCTGTCTGCCTTTTCCCCCCACTCTTTTCTAGTTGTGAATATATCTGCTTTTATATTATATGTGTGAAAGTCAGAGTTGCTTAGACCAAGAGGATATCCTAAAAATACCTAGAGTTCCCCTTTGTTTTGACATCCAACACCCTTGGGATGAAATGTCAGTGGATTTTCAAAAGCAACTCATGAAATCTAGGAAATCTTATTCCTTTTCAGGGAACTCTAACTTGTGAAGAAGAACTGGAAATAGAAATGGTACCTGTTCTGATGAGCACAAACTAACTTACTCAAAAACACACCCATGCAAAAAGAAAGGAAAATAAAACAAAAGGAATAAAGACAAAAGATAACCTTGGGTTTTGTAGTGGAAAGAGAATGATTTTCACCCTTTACAGAAAAATAAACCTGAATTTATCCCTACGTCTAAAAAAAATGGCATTTCTATAAAAAATTGCTGAGATTTAAAAGTGAACAAGTTACCTGATATAAAATATGTCTTACAGTGCTAATACCCTTCCAGAAAACTCCTTGTGGTTCCAAACGATAATACTGTAAGATTCCATTAAAATGTCCACTGAGTGCAAGGTAGCATCCTCTTCCTCCCAAACTGTGCAGCCCGGGGTGTTCCCTGGTACTCGGAAACACCTACACTCCTTCCCTCCACACTCTGGCAGCAAGCACCTGAACTTGTGCAAGGGCCCATCATTACTTCACTCAGTTACAGTTCCCACATCTATGCTTGAGACAGGCAATTGCCTGGATGATTAGCTGGAATAGGCTAAGCGACACCCCACTCCTTTGTCCAAAGTCTTCCCAGAGATGCCTTTTGCATGATCAGTGCGTACCTTGTGGGAGAGGTTGAAGGGGAAGGGCAGGCTGCCCGGGCTGAATGGTTAGGAGGCCTTGACGCTGCAAAGACAGGAGGTGCTGTTGCTGTAGCTGCTGCATTTGCAAGAGCTGCTGCTGAAAAGCCAACTGCTGGGTAGCCACCTGCTGTTGCTGGAAGAGAGCGGAAGGACAAAAATGAGACAGCCACTTCCCAAGGAAGGTTGTAAGTATGCACGCTTCATGACTCACCCTCACTGTCCAACACTGTTGCTGGGCACTAGAGCTGGGTGGACTGCTCAGTGTTAAGGTTTCAAAAGGACAGAACGCAACACCTCTGAAGGGAAGCAGATTACCTTTCTGCTGCCTGCTCCCACAGGAAAAGCTTTCCTCCGTGGAGCTGGCTTTCTCTATAGTTGGAAAAGCCTGACTTTGGTAGTCAGTGTGTGAACTTGGAGACTTTGAAACTTGTCATTATTCACACTAGAGAGAGGACTGCATCACTCTGGTCTGCAGGGATTTGAACCCTGCACCTTTGAGGTGTTAAAAAAAGGAGGTGCCTCCCTCCAGGCCTGCACAGGCAGGAGCCTTTAACTACTCTGTTTATCACTTCTGACATAAATAAATGAGAAAAAATCAGACCTTTGAAGAAGAAAAACTTCATCTAATATTGTTAATTAGCCATGACAAATGATGAAATAACACTGTAAATCTTTCATAGAAACAGCCACTAGATTTTAATTACACACATTCATAATTTAGCAAACAACATCACACTTGACTGTGAGCGTTTAATGTGAACGAGAGTCTCTAAGCTTCGGATGCCTTCACTTGGCTTTAGTCTCACAAACCCCTAGGTCTGCCTGCTGGTCCTGCCTCCCCACCAGCTTTGTTCTTGAAAAGAAGGGGCTTTACCATATGATATCTTTTTGTCAACTGGACAATGACAGGAGGAAAACTTTTGTTGTGTAAAACATCAATACATCATTCCTGTGTTTAGCAGGCCTGGCTCCAGCCAAAAAAGTTAATGTAGATTTCCTCAGTAATTATCTGAGTGATAGAAAGATAATACAGTGCAGTAGTACAATAAATAGAAGGAAATTATCTAATATCCTTAATCTGCTAGGAATCATATCGAGGTGGAGGTCTTGGCCACATTATAGTTAACACTTAGAAAGGAAAATTAACTCTTCCCCAACTGAAACCAAAAAGAAGAAAGATTCCTTAACAAAAGAAAAAAGTCCCTAATTCTGGGTATAATTTTTAAAATAATCACAGACTTTTAGAACGAAAAAGAATCCCCAATCCTTACAGAGCGTGTGTGTTCTGGTTAATAACTATACCTTACAAACAACTGCATTCACTTAACCTGACACATGACCTTGATCTGATAGAGCCATAAAATGGTTTGTATACCAAGACCTTCTGATGCAAAGTTCAAAGGAAGAGAAAAATGGTGGTTTCCTTTCCATCTCCATGTAGTTTATTTTACAGTAAAAACCATCATTCTCATATTAGCAACCAATTTCAGACTTACTACCATGCCACTGAGAAAGTTAATTGAGTTTCACTCTAAAAAACAAATTCTATACCACGAACAACAAAAATTTAAATAAATTTAAATGAAAAGCCAGTGTTTTCATTTTAAGAACAGCATGCATAAAATGATCCAATTGTTTTCACCCCTTCCCAAGTTATCACATTAATGTAAAACCCAGTGATAGTTATATTCATGTCAAAATGATTTTTTCACTTCTTCAACACATATTAACTCAAGACATTAAAACAGGTAAGGAAGAAGAAAGAACAACATCAACATAATAAAAGATCAGGGGATTAGCTCTTCTTGAAGTAGAATATGATGGGGGATCTGAAGGTTTAGGGGAGGGTGTTTCCTGTCTTACTGTAAATGAAATGTTTAAAAATTGTGTATTTATATAAAATGACTGATACCTTTTCTGTTGTCTCTGTGGCCATCCCTAGGAAAAGCTCATGAAAGCTGTCCACGTCTGAAAAGCCAGGATATAAAAGTATACAAGGCCCATTGTCCAAAGAAAGAATTTAAAAGCAACACTGGTTGCCAAACTGTGTTCCCCACCCAGTTACCAAACACAGGATACGGGTTCGTTTGTTTACTTCTCACAATTGAATGCATACAAAAAAGGTCTCCGCACAGTCTCCTGACAGGTCAGTAGTCAGTGTTAAAATGCTAAAATGCCCTGATAAACCCTGCATTTCGGATCCCCTCCCTAGTGCTGCAGTCAAAGGTCTGTTTTTCTTTCTTTGGCTACACCCTACTGCCTAACATAAACTGTCATAACTGCCTGGGACAAACGGCTCTTTTAAAACAATCAATTTAGCCTACTTCACCCACACAAGATGGCATCAGTTTTTCGTAGCTTATTCAAAATGAATTCTGCTGTCCATTTTCCATACCACTCTCCTCCCAATATGAAGGAGCAGCTGCTCCAATGGTTGAGCAGGGTTCCAACTCTCACTTCATCAATAAACATCTTCGAAGGGAGATCTTAGGTCTAACCCAAAGTGGAACCAAACTTTCCCACGGAAACATCTCAAGACAACTTTAGGCAAAATGACAGCAAAGGTATGCTGCGCTGGCCAAGAGTCTCCTGTCGTATCTCGGAAGTAATCAAAACAGGGTAAAAAGCGGGGAGGAAAAAACTGATGATATAAAATTACGAGCCACTAATGACTGGAGATCCAGTAAATTAATATACTTGTTCCATCTGTCAACATCCAAGTTTGAACCCTGTTAAAATCATAATCACCAGGCTGCACCATGAAAACGGCACCATGTGACTCCATTTCCTTTGAGCATAGAAGGACCAACATCTGCATGGTAATTCTGGGAGATCTCCTAACCACTGTTAATAGGTCCGGGCCAACTCCCTGGTACCAGGAACACTCAGTGAAATCCAAGGACACCCATCCACTCTGCTGGTCTGCCTCCTTCTTAGGGCTATAAAGACCACACACATCCTGAGTTACGTGGGCCCGACGAACAGATGACAGAAACATGGACCACAGTAAAGCCAGTGTCCTGGAGATGCTAAATTTGCTGCTACCATGTCTGGCCCTCTCCTCCTGTAGACACCAAGTATTCTCTTTCTGCCCTCACTCCCTTCCCAAACTCAGATACTGCCATCATCTCTGTGCTCCCTTTCCTGACAGCAGCAATTTGGGAGAGTTAACTTTTATCCTTCTTTCTGCTGTGCAACTTTCCCCTTCACATTTCTTTATGGGCCCTTGGAGCTCATCTGAACTTTCATGTCCTCCCAGCATGCAGACGTGCATTCCAAACTCTGTCTAACACACCAAACAAGAGGTTAATAAGAAGTGGCAACAGAAAGGAAAAACACAATCCCTGGTAACTGATAAGAATGACAGTGGCAGCCCTTTTTTGTTTGTCTTCAAATATAGAGTTAAAGATCTTTAAAAAACTAAATTTTGATGCCTTTGAAAAGAAAGAAGCACAAAATAACAACAGGGGGTTATTGCCTGCAAGCCACAGGGGAGAAACTCCATAATTCTTATTCTCCCTTTTGAAGGCTGTTAGAAATCTGATTCAAAAAAGCAACAGCAGAAGGGGAAACCTCTTGAGGCTGTAACCATTTCCTGTGATCATGCATAATGTGCTTCAAAAGTGGGTTTTTACCAATTCTGTTGATCAATTGCACCTCCTTCATATCCCTTCTTTTTTCTGCTGTGTTTACATCTGATGTGACTCAATGACAAGCACTGTCTGAGACTGTGAAACAGGCCTGTCATGTTGATTTATGGGCGCATCAAACCACAACTTGTCCAAACTGAAGCTCGCAGTTCATTAATTAGAGAGTTGTGACTTTGAAGTCAGCTTTCAGACTGTGGTTTTTAACATTTGGCTTAATTTATATGCTCTTGAATGTGGATCTCTAAGGAAAAAAACTGAAATTCCCTTCTTGTCTTTGAACTTCTTTTGACCGCACAATAATCATTTCTTTGTCCAGAGTGATGCCTGCAATCCCAGAGTCATTAACGCGCATTGAACTGCCACTGATGAGTAAGCCCTGCTGAATTAGAAAAACAGCCAGCAAAACAAAGCTGAGAGCCTTCTGCACAGTGATATCTCACAATTACATGCCTTCCCTCCCTGTGCCATTTCCATTTTAATTACTGTTAGTCCTTTAGATTTACATTTTAGACACTTTTTAATCTGTTCCCTTTTTTATTATAGCAGCACCCGGTAGCGCGCCACTGTACTTAAGGTTGTGTCAGCATTTTCATTAAAACCCCTCCTCCCCTTCACCCCAAAACTGCCCCTACTCTGCAGGGGTTTACAGGCAGGCTGCTCAACAGGACTCCAGGGTAAAAACTTGGCAGAGCATGGAAACGGGTCCAGTTTGTATACACGGAGGAGCCCGCCCAGGGAAAATGTCTAGGTCACTCCCCAACTGTAAAATCAGCACTGCCCAGCGTTCTCATTCATGCGAGGGAGAGGGACAGGGACATGGAGAGGCATCTGCAGAGACTCCTTCCAGAGAAACCAAAGTGGCCCAATGCTCAGGGCCAGGGAAGAAGCCATGGAAGAGACTGACAGGCAGTTTATAGAACTGTGAGAACTCTGCACTGGAGGACAGATGTCATGAGAAGGTACACCTGCATGGGGGCACTTCACAGGAGGGGGTGCCTCACCCACACGGTCCTGCACAGAAGGTGAAATGGAAGCCCCTGGGGATGGGACTCATACTGTCACCTGGCTGGGTAGTGTGGCAGAATGCAGTGACTTCAGAATCCTACAAGGTATTGAGTAAAGAGAAGCTGTTAAAATGTACTAGCCTTTATCTGGAAAATACAAATAATCCAATCCACAGTCTGCCCTAACTTTTAACTACTGCTGTCTAAGGCAGCCCTTTAGCAGTGGCCATAGGTACAACTTGTAGGACGGGGATGTGTAATCTTGTTCGAACTTTCTCTTGTCCACCCTCACGAGAAAGGCGATTCTTTCAAAGGACAATGCATGCCCAAGCTCCCTGGGCTGGAAATAAAAATTATGTGGGTATCCCAGTAAAATCTGACTGAGAATATTTCCCCTCCTCAGTTCCAGCCCGGCCATCAGCGGGACTGGTACAGAATGGGCCTGAAAAGTCCCGCCCACGGTCTCATACACACTCCTCACACAGGTACACGTGCAGCGAGGGCATAATATATGTGGCAGCGAGCAAACGGAACCCAGAAAAGTCTAAGGGAAAACAGGACAATAACTCTCGGTCTGAAAGCTGAAAACCGATAGAGTCAGCTCAGTTGTGCAATCATTTAAAAGATGAATGACAGTTTAATAGCCACTAGATAGTCCTCTGGGATCTGTGGTTTGAAAGTAAAATATGTATTGTCGGTACCTCTTTAGGCTGTTTTCCAGCATGTTGTTGTTGTAAAAGTTGAAGCTGCAACTGTTCTTGTTGTTTTTTATAAAACTCTTGAAGCTGCTGCTACAAAGAAAAGAGAGGACAGTAAGTAACGGAGGGCAGCACCGATCCACTGTCCCTCTTGGTGCCGTACACAAACTCTGATTTGAAAAATAGCACTCTTTTATCTGCGATGGCCTGACCTTTAGTTTGAAACTCGACAATAAATTCCGCACACACTGACTATTCTTGGCATTATTGTTTGAGAAGTAGCCTCCAAAATGAACTGATGAAAAACATACCATTTTCTACACAAACTAATTAAAATAAGGCAAGGAATGACCTTTGATTGTACAACAAAGCTGAAATGCCCTTGCTGAGAGAGTCTGGTGAATCTCCACTGCGTGCTGCCCGAGCTATGAGCGACAGGCAGTGTAGAGCACTGGTCAGCGTGTGCAGCGTTGGGCGCGCCTTGGCTTCTTGTCCCCCGCCACAGTCCTCAGAATCTCATCTGGTGGGTTCCCATGACCAAGTCTGTATATTTGGTCCCCGCGGTACAATGACAGCTAGAAGTTTATTGCAACATGAGGATATATTGAAGAGCCAAATCAACTTTGCACTTTGAAATTAACCAACTCCAAAATGCTTCTTTATGTTAATGGAAAAAAAATTCTGTAAGCTTCTAAGTTGAAATTGGGACTTCAAGAGCTGTCATATTTAAACCTGCTCCCAATGTGCTCCTCGTTTTGCTTTGATTCACACCATTTAGAAGCCTCTGGGCTTACCAAATAAAACAGTGTAAAGCCACATAAGCCTGAAAGATCTTTTTCTACCAAGTCCAATTATAGCTGTAATCTCAGTCCATGGGGTGCCCTCTGAGCCCAAACCCTGGCCACTCTGGCAGGTAGGCTCCCACCCTTCTGAGACACAGTGCAATCCATTACGCAGGACTGGACTGTGTTCTGCCCCATTCAGCTTGCCCAGCTGGTTCTTCCATGGACAAAGTAGCTGCTCAGGTGGAGGGGAACTGTGAATGGAGGCCTGGGGACCTAGGTTTGGTGGGGGAGGAGAAAAAGGACAATTACCTGTTGAAGCATGAGGGCTTGCTGCTGCTGGAGGAGAACCTGAAGCTGCTGAGGGCTCAGCACTTGTTGCTGGAGGATCTGCTGCATTTGCTGGGGAGTGATAACTTGAGGTGTCATCATAGCCACTGACACGGGAACCTGGAACATTAATGAAAGATAAATAGGAAGCAGGAGATCATAAGCACCCAACCCTCTAGGTTCTGAAACTGCCTGCCATTAGTCTGCTTAAAGAATGAACCAATTTCCCATGCAAAATGTATTTACCCACAGGGGATGGAGAGACGAATCCTACGTCATCTATCATGGAGATTATTATTAGTATTATTACTACTACTAGTACTACTATTTTGAGGTATTGGAAATTGGATCCAGAGCCTTACCCATCCTAGGCAAGAGGGCTACCACTGAGCTACACAAGAGCAGCCCTGGAGGTTATTTCATATAAAGAAAAAGAAAACAAAACTCTGCAGCCCTGACTAAGATTCCAAGAGGTCTTGCAAGCAGACCAGGAGGAAATACTTAATAAAATGCTATCTAGATTTAGGATACAGAAAAATTTTAATTCCTCATTTGGAACAAGTCTTAGGTCGAAATGAGCTGTGAGACATTAGCCCAAACTTCAATGCAAATGGGAACCAACATCTCTAAAGGTGGAGTTAATATGGCCCACTTCCATGGTGTAGAGGGACTTGAAGAACAATCAAGGAATCTTAGTGTTGTGTGAGGGAACCTTGGACGCACCTTTGAACTTAAACACAGACCCTTCATATGATGCCTTTTACCCTTCCTTATTTGCCCAGCATACAGATGTCTCAATTCTCTCATATTATGTGCGATACCATTAAAAGGCGCTTTCCATGACATTTCAGTGACAAACAGCTACAGTGATGAACTTGATAGCATTTCATATTTGCAACTGTTAACACGTTTCTGCACGGGCATCTTTGCAAGGAACCTGCACACTGTATCTGAAAGGATGATGTCTTGTTCAGATAAAACACTGACATTAAAATGACAGGCTGTCTTGGCCAAGGTTACACAAATTGTATTCAAGCGGATACCTAATGACAATGCTATGAATTCTGCAAGCTTTCTAGAATGTAATTTAGCTATTCAAAATAATCACTGCACTTGTGTTTAATTTGCAGACTACATGAGAACCATTTTGTCAGTCCCCGTAATGCAAGAAGACTATTTCATGAAAAATCACCCCCCAAATAAAAAGATAAGGAAAGAAAAAACAATGAAAGAAAAGACAAAACCCGTATGCCTTCTCAGAGTAATATTTAAGCATCTTACTTTTCTTTGGTTTCTAATCAAACATGTGACAGCAAGAAGCTAGAAGGAGTAAAGGATATACTTTGTTAAAAAGGATCTGCTGTCATCTCATGTATTACAATAAAAGGTAATAACATGTTTTGCACTTTGCCTGTGTGCCACTTTAAAAAAAAATCCAGCAGACAATAGCTGATCAGAAGATAAAAGAATTAAAAAATCTTTCATGGGAACAGTAAGCAAAAGGGAGAAATGCAGTATTAATTTTATGTAACATAATGTCTTAATATGCAGTTTATCTTGACTTTTTCACATGATTTGTCCTGTCATTTGCATAGCGAGCTCTCATTCCTAATTTCACAGTCATTATGCACTGATGTCCCGATTTCTCAGCATCACTAATTTTGATGAACTAAAAATGGTTCCTGAAGGTCAGATTCATGTACAGTGAACATTCTCCACTGTTGTTGTGGGTATATTTTGTGTGTAGGGATATTGATATGCAAGTTTTACATGTTTAGAAAACACTAGCTAGAACATTCAAAAAATTTCATTAACCCAACTCTGGAAGGTCACCCATGAATTCTTCCTATTGCAGTGGCTTTTTAAGTGTAGATGTAGATACGCTGTAATTTAAAACAGATGAGCATGTCGGAGTATTTTTATATGTAAAAAGGGACAGATGTATATGAATGGATAAATTATCTTTTTTAAAAGATACTGTAATTCACAGCAGGAAATATCACCAATGATTGGAACAGTGAACTTCCATTCAGTCTAGGGCAAACTCCAAGACATTATCAAAACATCCAACCATCTACAAATTAATCCCAATTAGCCAACTTGGTCTTGATAGAGAAAATTTTTGAATTTTTAAGTATGTGTTTGTTAGATGCCAATCACTATCTTTCGAGCTGCTAAAGCCAATATATCACAATAGAAGTTTACTTTTCCTTGAGAGTTGCATCATCATTTGGGGAGGTTTGATTAAGCAAACAAAAGAACCATGTTTAAGATTTCTTTTTTCCTCTGCGTTTCTTGGATGATGTACAATATAAATATTCTTGAGCCAAATTTCTGATGGTGATGAACAGGAAAACAGACAGGAACAGGGTGGTGTAAAGTCTAAACTGGTAGTGAACATGAACTTAACAGAGTTTTAGGAGAAATCAGCACAGAAATAATCCCCACTGTAATTTTTAAAAGAGCTATAGCAATCTTATGTGAGAAAGGGACACCACTGTGAACTTTTGGGGGTGATGAAAATGCCAGCCAGCATTTTGAAAAAGGCAGTAGTCACATAGATATATAAGCATACAACTGTCAAGACTCAGACTCCAACTATACATTTAAAAAATGTATTTTATAGTATGCAAATTATACCTCGAAAATAGTTGGCTGCATTTATTTTACACACGCACACACACACACAATCTCAATTTTTTTTAAAACACTGGGAAAATTGTATCTTCTTAAATGAGAAGCACTGTCTTTTGACTGCCAAAAACATAAGGGTATCAGGGAAAGGACGGACATACACAGATCATCTATGAACTCTTACAGACAGCTAGTGGTTTATGTCTCTTTTTTTACAGTTATTCATTTTTGTGCAGTTGTGCAACCACAGAGCAGGAGAACGAACTTGAGTCTCTCCTGCTTTTTCTCCTTGGACATCGTGATGGAGGTGCTGATGAGTAATACAATGCTCAAAGCAGCAGACAAGGAGAGCGAGCAAGGAGCCTGAGTAATCCTCTAAACTGGCTGATCAGTCTCTGAATAATCAAAGTGGGCCGTTATGTCCTGATGGCCTCAACGTTGCTTTTACTATCTTAAACCACATTTTCACACTACTTAGCTCTGAGCCCCCAAAGTGGGCTCAAGCTTAAATTTATAAATGCAATAAAACTGAGATATCCCCAAAGTTTCTGCTCCAACATGTCAGGAGAAGAGGTTATGGAAAGCCTTAACAAACACATTCAAATGAACCAGAACCCAGGGTGAAGCAGAAGAGGGAAGGGGAAGATTGGAACACAGTTTAAGGCTTCAAATAGTTAAGAATTATAGCCTATATATCTACTCCCTTAAATCCCAGCGTCCAACTTTCTCATGTAGCTAGTTCCTACTAATACAAGGAATCAAAGGGCATGCAGTACCAGCGACGGGCTATTACAGCCCACACTTTATTGCCCATTACTACTGAGGTCATTAGCGGCAAGAGTGATTGTAGCAGTCTTAACCTATTGATCACTGTAACTACTATCATTTAATCCTGTGTTGAATGTCTGGAAAGCAGCTAAAGGCACACAAGAGAGAGTGTTTCAGCATTGAGAAATATGGCCAAAGCTTAGAAATTACACTTTGATTCATAAAATCTAGCCAGTGGTTTAAATCAATAGTATTTAAAACAGTCATGTGACTTTTTAACTACAGCAGTGTAATATTTATGAGTCCCTCTTTGAGAGTATTCAGTGAAAACGAAACTCTTCCCTCCATAATCCCAATCCCATGCCATCTACTTTTACCCACCTTCTGATAAAAAATATTCATTTCTGATGTATTGTGTAGCTACAGGGCTCATGCCTTCTCTGGGAGTTCAAGCTAATTCTTGATTTCTTTCTCATAAGACAATTTCAATATAAGGGAGAAAAGAATTACATCCCTGATACTGTAACTACCTTAACTGTTTGAGTATGTAAAAATGAGTATGTTTTATGAGTTAACAATGAATCATAGAAGGCAATTTATGAAGAACTAGAATGATTCTGTCTAGCTGCCTTCAGGGATCAGAAATTCAAATTAAACTTCTGGCAGACATTTAAAGAATGCTAGCATACAAAACCGAATTTAAAAACACACACACACACACACACACAGTTAACACTCTTTAGCTGAGTTGCAAGAGGAAATCATGAATTAAAAAAAACACGCCACAAGATACACTGTTGACTGACACCAACTGGGTGTGGTTGATCCCAGGTGCACAGAGACCTATGGGAATGGCAGAAATACAGCTGTGCTTGGGCCATCCAGAGGGTGCTAGCATGGGCCTGCTGCCGCCTAATACCAGCACCCGGGGAGCCTCCGGAGACTGAGGGCTGCTGTTAAAAGCCATGCACTGCTGTGTCAATTCTGCCTGATGCAGTTTAGTTTTCCTCCAAAATGATGCTACATCCTCTGAACGCTTGAGGACTGTTAAAATGGTGTGCTTTATTATTGTCTTTTATCCTCAGTGAGGAAAGATAAGGAATGGGAGGAGGAATGTGAAAAGTAAACAAACAAATAAAAACACTCACAGAAACAATACTTCCTTCTCATCTAGGAGACAATTGAAGGAATTGGGTGGGAGGCGAGATGGCACAATATAAATACTGAAAATAACATGTTATCATTTTTTCTCTCCCTTTAGTTTATATTCAAGTTAACTATACATAAATACTGCTCAGTATAATACACAGGTTTTGCACAGCACCATCTTCTGATATGTGTTAGTGTACAAATCAAACTAAGAGGAGAACACAATTTCACCATTACTTTATTTCCCTTAAATTTACTTCCAAAAAATCTGAAAGCTATTCTTAACGTTTGATCATTCACTCCTTGTGTGTCCCAGCAAACTCACTTTCCTTCTGGACTTCAGGCTGTGTTTGGGTGATAACTAATCAGGTTAGGCAGTGTCACCTAGTTAATCGCCTAACAAGAGCAAAACAAATTAAATTAGAAGGATCCAGAGTGTCAAAACAAAACCAAACAAAGAAAATGGCTCTATTAAAAAAAAGAAAGAGGAAAAAAAGGAAAAGAAATCGAATTGTGCCAAATTTTATATGATGATACAGACGTAGCCTGTGCAAGGGAAAATTAAACAT